GTGGGGGTGGGAGGGGGGGAGTAGTTGTCCCCTACCCTTCCCACATTGCCAGTTTTCGTTTGTGATAAATTGTTTTTACTTGTGTGTTTGTTTGTTAACTTGTTTACCTAACCAGCGAAGCCAAAAATACCCTGAATGTGGAGGAGGGAGGTCCCCACAAAGGAAGGATATTAAGCAAATTTTGCTAAGCCACTGATGCCTTGCTGGACACAAATACTTGTTCGTCACTGGTCGTCCAGGCAGTGAAAAAAACGCAACAGTCTAAGCTCAGGTGTTGAAGACGTTGTATTCACATCTTTTCATCTCCTCCCTTCTTTCCTTCCTTCCTTCCTTTCTTCCTTCCTTTCATCCTTCGCTCTTTCTTTCTTTCCTCTCTTTCTTTCTTCCTTCCTTCTTTCTTTCTTCCTTTCTTCCTTTCTTTCTTTCTTTCTTCCTTTCTTCCCTCCTTTCTTCTTTCTTTCTTCCCTTCCTTCTTTCTTTCTTTCTTTCCTTCCTTCTTTCTTTCTTTCTTTCCTTTTATCCTTCCTCCATTCTTCTCCAGCTTACTGCTTAGCCGAGCGAGTGTTCTGTATTTGAAACTGTCTGTGTGTATGTGTGTGTGTGTGTGTGTGTGTGTGTGTGTGTGTGTGTGTGTGTGTGTGTGTGTGTGTGTGTGTGTGTGTGCCTAGAAAGAAAATTTCCACAAAGAAAATAAGACAAACAAAGCTTAGTGTGTGTTTGTGCTTGTTTTTTAGCACCTCAGGGCAGTGTAGACAGAGGGCATTGCGAAAAATGTACGAAATTGTATAGGTCCAACGCATCTCTTAACACTGTAAAGTTATTTAGGAGGCATTATCTCCATAATTGTTTAACAGTGTGAGGTTGGCGGGTGCTCTGGTGTGGTTTGCTTCCTCTTTCTTATCAAACATCTATTGTCTTTATCTCCCCTCCTTCATTTTTGTGTTTGTTACTCTCTTGTAACAATTCTAATCTTCGGCACTTATATGACCTCATTGTGTTGCAAGTGCCGTAATACACTTACTAAAACAAAGAAATTATTTAAATCCATCTCCAATAGGACCGAGCCAAATGGATGGAAGTTTACTCGTACAACTCCCTGTAGAGAATTAGAACCAGGGCTATCATCTATGTCGTGCTGCATGACTAGCGATGCACGGCACTCAGATCACTGCAATGACGCGAACATCTTTCAAATCTTGTAACTTATAGTAGTGCCATGTTTGAAACAGACTATGGAAGCTCTCAGAAAACGTTTTTCCTATTTTCTCCCGTCGCCAGTCCATTTACGTTCTTTGAGTTATTCATTGTCCATTTCGGTCTCTTTTATTTACCTTCTATTTTTTTCAGTGAGAGCAAGATGTTGTCCGTTTGTTAGTGCTTAATCGTAACTTCCAGGAAAGCTGATAATGTTCCTGGGTGCTCAGAATCTGCTGTGGTAATAATATAGATTGTAAAGCGCATAGTTTGCTGTTTAGCAGGGATATACGCTATACAAAAGCTGTGTTTATATATTCATCAAGACGTTCAGGCCCCTTGCGTTGATTCAGGTGTCACAGGAACTGTATTTATTTATTGTCTCTTCCAGGTGATGTTTCTTTAATTTGTTTGTAACCATCCAAATCTGATTACGCTGCACCTTTCGGCTGCTAGAACTGAACCTCAGTCAACAGATCGCCAAATAACAGAAGTGGAGAGAAGACATAATTTTAAAAAGTATGCAATCCCTGTGGGTATGAAATAGGAGATGATAAAGTTTTCCGTTTTTCTTTATTTTTGTTCCTAACAGGTCTGGTGGTGGCTGTACTTGATCACGAACACTTCCGGCTCAAACTGATCTACGGCAGGAAGAAAAAGATCGTCAACAGTCTACGGGAGTCGGAGATCAAATTGCAGTTGTTTAGGGTGAGTCTCAGCCTCGTCTTCCACTTTAAAAAAATATTAATCGACAGTCGAAATTGTCAAAGACAGATATCCATTGTCGAAGAGAAAAAAGTTGTCTTAGACGATGGACGTCATGTTGAGAAAAAAAGCAAGGGAGGAAATGGGCAGTGGCCGTTTGTACAGGTGATTGTCTTATGGAGCATGTTGGACTGGATACTTTTTAGATTGTAGGTGATTTTGACAATGGCAATCTTTATTCATCTCACAGTGTGGTTACTTGAGGCAGGGATGGCACTGCCAGGAGCGAAATGTTCGAAGCTAAAGGGATTTGAACACAACAAACAACAACATTCATCTGACAGGGAGAAATTTGTCTTGGTCGTTTTACGATCATTAAGGAGGCAGGCTTCGACCTTGCATGTCAAGGACAACCCAGGCTGAGAGACAAACACGTCCCTGCTGAAAGACGAAGATACTAGATAAAAGTTAATTTTCCCCTCACGGGAATAGACCTCGTGTCTTCTGCGTGTGATGGCAATGTGCCTAGCAAACCGATACACCAGAGACGCGGTGCTACGTCTCATAAAGCAATGGTTGGGGTTGTTTTCAACATGTATCCACATGTTTGGGTGTTTTCGTGTGTTATTGCTGTTGCTTTTCGTGGTGGTAGTAGTGGTTGAGATGATGTTGGTGGCTGTTCGGATTGTTTGCAACTGCCTGTCCTCTCGTTTGTTTGTTTTTTCTTTGTTTTGGGCTTATTTGTTTGTTTGTTTGTTTTTTCTTTGTTTTGGGTTTGTTTATTTGTTTGTTTGTTTGTTTGTTTGTTTTTCGAATATATTATTGCTGTTGTTTTTTGTGGTGGTGGTGGAATGGCTGGGGTGGCGGCGGTGATGGTAATGGTACTGATAATGATGGTGTTAATGGTTTTGTGGTCTCTTTGCTGGTGGTGTTGATAGAGATAGTGGCACTCGCTTCAAGGTGGTCGCTGAAGTTGTTTTTTATTTGTTATAACTATGGCTATTGTCACTTTTTGTGGATCTGTTGTATGTATGTATAAGTTGTTTTTAAAACAACCACTAGATCATGGACCTAAGTTTACGATTACTAACCAGAATAATATCCTCGGACTGTGGCCTATCCTTGCATTGACGTAATGCGCTGCAGCTGCAAGTGTTTACGAAACGATGCCAGCGCCTGTCCCACACGTTATCACACCCACGCAAACAGGCTAGAACCTCTCTGCACCCACGCGAGAGAGCGAAAAATGAAGAAGGGTCTAGTGTTCTGACCCTTGTCCAGTTCGCTCATCACTGTGCTAAACGCTCTGACCTGGACGATTAATCCCCTCTCAGAGGATTTCCCCGCCAAATCTGAGCAGATGACGGCTCTCAGGCCGGAAGTCGAGTGGACATCTGGGAATTGAGGGTGGTTTCCACTTCGTCTGCTGTGATCGCATCTCGGCCATTGATCTGGTCCCCGATCGATGAAGTTTAAGAACCCCTGAATATTGGAAGTCTTCGGTTAAAGACAGACATAATGACCCACTTAACATTGCGACGAGATATCTCTTAACAAATATGGGGTATAAGTAGAGTATAGCCCCCCCCCCCCTCTCTCTCTCTCTCTCTCTCTCTCTCTCACACACACACACACACACACCCCCAACCTATCATTTTGAACTGGGTGACCTTAGTGTGTAACGTTCAGGGTTACCATAGGATATATAGGGTGCTACTGGGTGAGTTCAATAAAAAGTACGACCGATATTCCGTACGGCGTTTAAAACAAGCTTATTTGATATATGGTCGATTTTAAGGACAAGCGGCTAACCCAGATTTCGGCGGTTTCCGGAATATTTGACCTACACCAAAAGTGGGCATTTCCCACCTATAGCAGCAGTTTGGTTTCTTTGGTGTGTATATTTCTTTGGTTATAGAGAACATTCTCCTTGTCTTTTGAAGAAACTGAACAAGGGACAAAAACTTTACCTTCGATTTTCTCAAAACAGCACTTTTCGGGAATGCCCCCTTGTGCTTAAGAGCAACCATATTTTATCAGTGTTTATTACAGTTTATTTTACAAAATTACAAAATGTTCGTGTTATTCTATTCACAATAATTCTTGTAGGATAATATTGCATATCTTTTTATTGAGTTTGATTTTTCAAAAGACAATTGAATGAAGCAAGAGATATCTTCTCGTTTTAATGGAACTCCGAAACAATAAATAATAAGTCTTTTAAAAAATGGGAATAAAGCGGACTGTGATCATCGAAATGCGTTAAGAGAGAGATGTGTGTGTGTGTGTGTGAGGGGGGGGGGATATAGCTTGTTGACTGGCTTCTATGGTGTACTGGTTACAATTTTCGCTGTTGCACGCGCAAGACATGAGTTCGTGATTTTGCGTGGGGAGCTATTTTATGGTTATATTATTGATTCATAGATTGACAATTTGAATCGTTCACCTTCATCTATTCATACATCAACTTTTTTCCCCTTGCCCATTTATATGAGATTGACGCCATCTGATTAGTAGAAAAAAGCGCATATGATTGTGTCCAATAGCGTATTACATGCATACTTAGTATGCCAATTAACTGTAATAGCGGATAGAGATTCCAGGATTATAGATGTAAGTCATTGATCTGAGAGAGGTGATGATTTTAGAATTCATAGTGGTGATGAGTGATGATGAGGGATTGCGTTTAAGTAATGTTAGCGTTAGTCCTATCTTCCTCTGCTCCAATGAGTCACGAGGGACGTGGGCACCCTCTATCCCGTTTCCTACTGGAACCATCTTAACGGTCACCATGAAGTTCCGAAATGGTGGGCTCAGTCTCTGCTAAGATGACATCGTTAGTGTTAGCTTATTCTATCGGGATTCATACATCAACTAATATATTGGTGATTTCATTCATTCGTTCATCTAATGACTAATAAATCCATCCCTTCATTCGTCCTTTTATTCCTGCATTCATTGATGATATTATGTCTGTGCTCCTCAGGCCCAATGCAACGCCCTGAAACGACTGTGTTACAATGAAGGCATAGACGAGTCCAAGATAGACCAGATCCTCATGGTGGAGGAGTGTGTTGTCAGTACGTATAAACATTCCACTTTTCCTCTCTGTCTTATTCATCTTTGTGTCAGCAAAAGCGTAAGGAGATTTAAATTAATAGTGTGCTCATTTCGGTTTATTGTTTATGTGTACGTGTGTTTCCGGGGTGTATGTGTGCGTATATGTAAGAGAGAGAAAGAGAGAGAGAGAGAGAGACAGAGAGAGACAGAGAGAGACAGAGAGACAGAGAGAGACAGAGAGAGACAGAGAGAGACAGAGACAAACGGACAGAGAGACAGAGAGAGACAGAGAGACAGAGAGAGACAGAGAGACAGAGACAGACGGACAGAGAGACAGAGAGAGACAAAGAGACAGAGAGACAGAGAGAGAAAACAAGGTAGAGAGAGAGAAAGAGAGAGAGAGAAAGAGATGGAAGGATGAAGAGTGCGTGTATGTGTATGTATGTCTGTGTGTGCGGCTGTGCATTTGTGTGTGTATGTGTGATTGTGTGGGGGAGGAGGGGTTGTGTGCGTGTGTGTATGTATGTGTGTGTGTGTGTTTGTGTGTGTGTGTGTGTTAGTGCGTATGTGTGAATATTGTATGTTTATTTGTGTGGCCGTTAGTAATTTGTTGTGTGTGAGAGAGAGAAAGAGGGAGAGAGGGAGAGAGAAAGAGAGAGAGAGAAAAAAAGAGAGAGAGAGAGAGAGGGAGAGAGAGAGAGAGAGAGAGAGAGAGAGAGAGAGAGAGAGAGAGAGAGACAGAGACAGAGACAGAGACAGAGACAGAGACAGAGACAGAGACAGAGGGATAGAGAACGTGTACGCGTATTCTTGTTCAATATGCATTGCTAATTGTTTATTTTTTTGAAACAGTGGTGTTGCATATTTATTTGCACATGAGCTCTGTTGTCACATTTTTAATGTCCAGTTTTATTTTGTCACAGAGTTTATTTATATGGTTCCATTGTCATATATTACACTGCGGGTGTTGTGAATGCGTGAGTCTGTGTAAAGGACGGGCGGGTGCGAGGGAAAGTAAGAGAGAG